CGGGTGAGGGCGCGTGCTGGCCGGCAGCGCGTGGCCGCCACGAGTGCCAGTGGTGGTAGAAGTGGTGGAGGTGGTGGTGGTGGTGTGGGCAGTGCGTGCGTCCGCGCGGCGCGACGCGAGACGCCACAACCATTTACGGGTACGGCGGCGCCGCCGGGTGGAACACTGAACCGGGAGTGGTTCGTGTCGCCGACATGCTGACGTCCAGCGCCAACCAGTACCTGCGGCCGGAGTACCTCACGCCGCTGCCGACGACGGTGAGTGCGAGTGCGCGATGGGCGCGAGCGATCGCCCGAGTGCCGTGCGAGTGCTGTGCGATGTCGTGTCACGGTGTGAGCAGTGGTCAGGCACGAAAGTCACCCGTCGCGAGGCGCGTCGGGCAATGATTTCTGTGGCTGATGGCGAAATGACGCCCTCCGTTCGCTCCTACCGTTGCGTTTCCCAGAGCTGTCAGTCTTCTAAAGGAGAAGGATATGATATCTACTGGAGAGTGGCGTGCGTTGCATGATTGTCAACTTCCGTAATGGCTATTATTAGCAAAGGTGCACGATACCGTGCTGACAAGTCGAGTTTATATGCTGGTGCTTCATGCACATTTTCATTAGCGACATCGGCAACACACCGTCGATCAAGATTTATTGGAGCGTATTCTGTACTTTTTCATGTCAACATGTTCCGTTACAATGTGTCTGGTTTCATCCAGTATGTTCAACTAGCACATTTCAGTTTTTAGTGTATTATGTAGGACGAGTGGACGAATATTCGTTCTTAAAAATGGTTTCAAATCCTGAAGATTATAGAATAATTATGAACCATATACCCATTAATTATTAGATTTTTCGCGGAAGATCCATGGACATACGTATGTCGGTGTAGTCCAATGTCATGTTGTTATCTTTCTTTCATTTTTACAAATCAAAGTTATAGAAGAAACCGTCTTTTTGACATTTAGTTTAGCCTTTCTATTTTGAGATTCTTATTGATTTCTAAATATCAAATGAAATGATTGAGACGTTCACTCCTATTTATTTTAAATAATATATTCCAATGAACACAAACCGCAAACTGTTAATTTTCTTTGGAAATTTTCTTCATACTTTGCGGGAAAGCGACATGTGAACGTATTGTCTTCGGAGGAAGGCGGGCGTTTGGCAGTTTGAACGGTGCAACGTAATTCACATTGCATGAAAAGTTTGGAAATATGATTAGAAATGTATATTCAAGAAATTTACAACAATATCGATAACCGATGACATCATATTCCCCATGGGAGTGTCAGTCGGAAACGAAATCTCACTCCGATTTAGTCATGTAGTTCACACTTATCCATTTGTACGTGTTTGAAGTTCTTGTGGATATTTTTGCAATCACATTTACGTACACTTTCCTTCGTCGATTGCTTCCGCGAACATTGTTTTTTACTTTACGTGAAGATTAGATAATACCATTGCGTGTTCCCACGAAGACGTTTAGTTACTATTTACGGGAGGATGATTCCTTTTCAGAAAAAGGTCACTGTCACTCTCCAGTTGTGTCGGAGATTGCGTTTATGCTGAATTTGCTTTTGGAAATGCATCAGTGTTCTCGACAATGTTGAAAACATCAGCCCGCTTCTTGACAAACGATCCTGTATGAGTTACAGCGCAAGGAAGCGCTTAATTTTTCACTGTTTATGGTGTCATTACTCATCACCATTGCTCCATATATTCGTGTGGCTGGGCATTTCTGTTGTCATGCGTTGTTTATTCTGCACTTGTAAAGCCGACCAGGCGTCAAGCGACTCCGCATGGGGTGCGGTATTGCATGAGATCATGGAGTAAGCAGCTGACCAGTTCTCTCAGAGGCGTATCTACGGTATGGCAGTCATGCACGTGCCATGGGCGCAACTAACTAGGAGTTCTGTCTAGAGTATACCCGCTGGAACAACAACAACGCTAATTTGAAGAATCTTGACAGGGGCGCAAATTCTGTGCTTGCCCTGAATAACGAGATACGCCTCTGCGTTGACCTATCAACAATGAGATCGTGAGCCATGTTGGAAAATCACAGAATCGATCCAAAAAATGCTATCTGGGTAAATGGTTTTTAATTTAAAGTAAGAGAAATTAATGTTGAAATTCAAGCTTATTAATTGTACGTACTGAGTACTATATTTGAAATGCAGCCTACCTTTAGCCAACGACGTCATTGGTTGGCATCTTTCTCCCCTCCACATTCTTGATATATTAAAATGTTTCACGAATGTATTTATACCAAACATCAGACACAATGAGTGTCGTGGCCTGGTAATTTTGGGTAGCTGTCCACACTGAAACCCTCAGAACACTCAGAGAAAAAACCTAATCTACTTTTTAGAATAAAGGAGTACACATTTTCCGAACACAACAAAATTTAAAGTAAGTGCAGTATTTACTTTAGAAATAACAACAGTGTGAAATTATTATTAGCAAAGTGTTAACAGGTCTTATATTAATTTCAGATAACCAGCTGTCTTTACATCTCTTTTGACATATATATTTTATTGGTTGTGATTTTTATTTTACTTACATTTACTGAAATAATTTAATCGCCACTTATAACACCGCCAAGGCGCGAACTACCATCCCGTTCATACGGTCGCTGTTTTCCGGTGTCACGACCGCCCGGCTTCACTCGAGGGTGGCTTCTCGTAAAATATACTCTGAAAAGGCAAAACTATGCTGTATAATTTTTTAATTAAGCAGTGTAAATTGTCCTGAAAATAACTTGCCTCATATACTATTTTATTTTACTTCAAAAGGTTTTATTAAAAACCTGACTGTAAAATATGAAAAGGGACGCAGATAGACGTGGAAGGATTCGTGTCCGTCAGAATCTCTTTTTGCACGTAATATGTTCTTTCTGTTTCAACATTTGGCCCTATTAACGATGGAATAATAGGCAGTACATTCATTATTATCTCTTCCGCCTTTTGATAGAGAATGCAAATAGGATAATACGGTATTTCTATGGAATACAGGTTACAACTTTAGTCAGGCATTCAACCCAGGAATGCTTTTGTCGTTATTCTGGATGGCTCAAATTTCCCATTACTAATATGTATTTCGGACCTTTTACAGTACGACTTACCAGTTTTAGGTATAAATGTCTGAAATGTATTTTTAGGCAATATTAGTGGCCTGTAGCAGCAAAAATACTGATAAACAAAATCACAGGAAATGGTTTTCAAGAAAGTAGCACACTGCTCAAGAACAAGTTAGTCTTCGCAAGTACTGTAATAACGTAATACAGTATATTTATACAGTACATCATTTCTTTACCTACCAATAATATTTTTAAAAAGTTGCTCTTCTTTAAAGCAAAACGTGAATAACAAATATTTAATGACGGGAGGCCTCTTGCTTGGAACCTTGTTTCTTATGCACTGACGCAGAGGGTATGCGAAATCATTCAACACGGGCGGTGTGAGAGTAGGCCGAATAACACAGAAATATTGGCATTTTTTAGTCAAAATTTAAATGTTTTTGAATTTCCCTAATTTTCTGGGTATCTAACAAAACCATATACACCTATTTCACGATCAGAGGTTGCATACTTTTCTTTCAATTTCTAATTGGTTTAAAAATTAGTAATAAAGAAATATAAATGTAATTCCTTAGTCTCACGGTCAGGAAATGTGTTCACAATTCTGGGATTCCGGTATAAATATATCTTCACTATTTTGGACGATATCGGGGTTGTTGGCTTATACAAAGGAGAATGAATAACGATTTCTAAATTCTAAGTGGATTGAAAAAAATAAAAGACATGGCAAAGGTAATTTATTTGTACGTTATGACGTGTGAAGCGCATTTCGTTTGAAAAGCGGTGACACATACATTTTCGTACGAACCGTGAAATGTCAGATACCATGATTTACACACAAACAATTCAATTAACCCTTCAACGCAGGATGCAGTCTTGAGAAGTCACATTCTTCTCATCTGTTTGCAGATCTCCGTTTCTAGGCGTTTAGGGATTCTTCGCTTGTGGCGGTAGACCGTCCGGGGTCGAAGGGCTGCGGCGGAGACGCTGTCATCCAACTCCCGCGTTGGGATGCTACAACAATTATTGATTTTTTATTTAGTGTTTCAGGGCGAATAAACTATTATGATAATTATGCCTGTAAATATATACCATACATTCTTATGGAAGTTCTTCTCGCGGCAGAATCCGGCGCCAACCGTTACGTCGGTTAGCAATGGGATGTTTTCACTTGCAGGTATTTCCCCCACCCCCAGTGACGGACCGCCCCATCGGGGAGAAGCTGTAAGCTCCCGAATAGAGTTTGTAGGAAGTAAGGGTAGGACGAGGAAGAGGTAGGAAAGATCGCGTGCGGAACGTGGCGCGTTTGTTAGGCCACGGTTCCGTCATTCGCCTGATGTTGATCGGAAAATTACAGACCAGAGCAGCCGGCAAATACAATTCTCCTCCAGGCAGCACATGTATTGGACCTAGCTAGTGTTGCGAATCCGGTATCGTCAGGACTCGAATCGTAGAGCCTCCCGGTCCGCGACGCTGCAGTAAGAATGGCAATGCTGCCGCCAGTGAGTCATCCCGGCGGGAACAGTAGAAATCGCGTTGAAGAGATCATTCCGAACGTCTCCGAACGATCATAGGCCGCTGCGAGGAGGAAGCGGCGGCGCGGGCTGCCAGGGGCTCCGGGCGCGGCGAGCGCGGCGTCCGCGTGCGCGGGCGAGCGGGCGCGCGTGAATCGAAAAAGCGCGCGCGCGGGCGGGCGTCGGCGCAGGACGCCGCTGGGCGTCGGGCGGCGGCGTCGGGCGCCGCTCGCGACGGCCCTGCGCGCGCAGACGCTCTCGCCGCGCCGGCGGCGCCGTCAGCGGGAGCGCCCGCGTCTCGTGCACCTCTCGCCGCTCGTCGCCCGCCCGACGCCGCCAGACGCCGCCCGAGCGCCCGACGCCGCCCGGACGCCCCCGCCCCGACGCCCGCCCCGACGCCCATCATTCATCTCAAGAGGAGATGGAAGGTTTTTGGAAGCCTCATTGCAAAACACCTAAAATTTTTAATAGTACTTGTGTCGATAAAAATAATGGAGTCAGAACTCTTGTCAACTTTTGTGTTCTGCTCTTATTCAGAATGATTTTAGCAAAAAAAGTATTCTGTTAATGTTGATTTGGAATATGTTTCATTATAAAATCAAAAATTGTATCTTCGATCACTGTTAGTCCTTCAAGCCAGCAGATCAGGTGAAATGACTTGTTGGTTAGAAAGGCAGGTA